ACATAAATAAATTGCAAAATAAAACACAAAATTGATTATGTAATAATAAATAAATATAATTAAATAAATAAATAAAATATCTTGAGGGCTTAATTTACTTCTAATTCTATCACCGTCTTCTCCATTTGATCGATATACTTGACTTTCTTGATTCTGGATTTCTGAGCAGAAAGTCTGTTGGATACCGTCCTGTAAATAAATAATTAATAAAAAAAATTTAATTAATTAGTTGCATGCATGTCACATTAAATAAAATAAAATAAATGAATAAATTAAAATTTACCTTCTAAGCTTCCTTTGATCCATGTTAGGGTCCAATCTTCGGCCATGCTTCAGTTCGTACTCGATTGCTTCGTCGAGTGTGAGAGCGACGGCTCTTGGATGAGTATCGTTGGCGGTTGAAGCCAAGTTACTCGAGCTCGGTTTCTGCTGCGGAGATTCCGGCAACGGGGTCTCGATTTTCATGTTTTCTTCCATATTCGGTGTTGGAATATCACTAGTGGTGTCGACTAATTTCGGGCAAGAATTCATAACTAGTCAAAAAATAATAAATTTTTAAAAAAATTACTATGATTTTATGCTGGCTTCGCCACTGAATAGTGAAGAGAGAGAGAAAGAGAGAGAGAGAGCGAGAGAGAGAGAGAGAGAGATTGCACGTATGGAGTGAAAAATGTGTGACTAGAGTGGTATATATATACACACACACTGCACATATACCCTAAAAGCACAAATGGACTGTTGCCAGCCGTTTTTGTCTTTATGTTATGATTTCACTTGTTATATTTTGAAATTTTGGATTATACCCATTTTTGATATATGTAGAGCCTAAAAATACTAGAGTGCCCTTCCGTGTACCCGGCTTAATTGTGTAGGGTGGAAATCGGATGAATTGGATCGGAGTTAGCACTTTCGATAAATTATATGATTTTTTTTTTCGAAAGTGAAAAAATATTCCCGGTTCTATTTCGATAAAAAGCGAAAATTGGAATAAGAAAACTCGCTCCAAAACCGAACTTTTTTGTCATTTTTTTGCTTGGAATATAAAATACATAATAACAGTAATAGTATAAGTGCAATCTTTGGGGCAAAATTAAAGTTTACATAATTATTTTTGAATTTTAAAATAGGACCTGAAATCCAAAACTTATATATATTTTAATTCCAATCCAAAAAATCGCAATGGATTTGTAATGAAAAGTATTTTTTCCAAACGGAAAATTCTGAAATCCAAATTTTTGTTCTAGCTTACACACACAGTTACATCTATAGGGTGTAAATGAGCCAAACTCGCCAGATTTTTCGAGCTCAAGCTCATTGAGCTTCCAATGTAGGGGCTCGAGCTTGAGTGGAGTCGAGTCTCTCGAGCTCAACTCATTTTATTTATTTATTATTTTAACATAATTTTAATATTATTTTTATTATTAATTATTTATAACATACTAAAAAAATTATTGAATAAAAAGTAAAACTGATAATTATTTTAGTTTTTTTACATGTATTTATTATTATATAATAGTAATATTTATTAAAAATATATGTATATAAAAAAGTTCACGAGCCGGTTCATGAACTTATGAACAACTAAGGATGGGCTCGAGCTCGAAAAATTCAAGCTTGATCTCGAGCTTTTATCGAGCCGGCTCAACTTATTTAAACCCGAGTTACACCCCCAAGACTTGTAAGACCAATTGTTTGATAATGAATGGCAACTGGTAAAAAAAATTCTCTTACAAACGTTTGACAACAATTGGTAACTCGTGAATTAAATTAATCTTTGTATATATGAATTTAATGCAAATTAAGAACATAAATGTAATTAATGTTCGTATTACTTACAAACTTATCCCTAGCAACTACTATTTGGTTTGGAATTTGGATAATAAATGAAAGCTCGTTGTATAATTGGTAGGAAAAAGTTGTCATTTGAAAATCAACCAATAAATAAATCCCATAAAATTAAATTAAATGGTAAAAGTTACTTTTAATTTTCTAATTATATTATTGCTGAAAGATGTTATTATTTTATTAGTATTTTATTAGTATATTATTCTTTATCCAAAAGGTTGAATTTAACTAAATTCGCCAATATAAAATAAAAATGTAAAATTGGTTATTGGTTTGAAGTTTGAAGTTTACATTTTTATGTAGCAAATTGCAAAAGATATGAAAATTACTAAAGTACCCTTGTCGGTAATTGTTTGTTAACGAATTATCTTTCAATAAATTAAGAGCGATGGCAAAATTGAAAAAAAT